CATTACAAGTCTTTCAAATACAAAAAATCATATTTTTAGTGAAGTATTTTTAATAAAATACAATAGCTTTGTCCATGAATATATTGAGTATTTGTTTTGAATTGTCTGTGTGCGAACAAATGTTCATGCTACAACTTTTCCTTATCTCAAAAATCTCAAATTTCCTTTGTGTCATCCCTAAAACCTCCTAAATGCATTTCAAACGATTTTTTTTAATAAAATTTTATAGTTTATCTGTTATTTTCTCTATTCTATCTCAGTCACTTAGACTGACCTCGTAACCACCCAAAAAAAATTGAAATAACTTTTTTTCTTTCTAGAATGATTTAAAATTGCAACATGAAACTACATTTGTTTATCCTAAGTAGCATACATCTATTTATAATTAAATGTTATTGTTTTATTGTCCTTTGAACCATGTCTAACTACTATCCGTGCCATTATAAGTCGTAAATCACTCGGAGGTCACATTATGCCATCGAATTGCATTACATGCCATTTTAAGTATATTATTATTATTATTATTTATTTTACCTAATCTAAACTTAAATAACTTAAAAAGATCTGTATTTTTAGATTTTAGTTACTTTTATAATAATAAATAAAGAATAAATATGAAAAACAAGAAATAAAGTACTTAACCAATCTTCCTTTTTCTTGCTCTTGATTGTCAAAGATGGTTAAGCTTAAATTTTTATAGTAAAGATAGTAATGCACTTAATAATTTTTATTTAATTAAATAATGCACCAAAGAATATAGCTTAATAACAAGCAAAAAGTAGACAAATTCACTTACCTCTCAAAATTTTTGTGGCTTTCTAACTGTGCGACAAAAGCCGTTACAAATTCATCCAAGCTAGTTGTTAACTTTCCCATGGGAATGATGTTGGTACTCTGAGTGAAACTGACGATGATCTGTTCATCTGAACATCTAACTGTTCAGAACACAACGTTACACAATATGTCATTTGATAGATGAAACCTTGACTTTCTGTTGGTTATAGGTAATATATAATGAAATGTAAGAGAGAACTATCAACGAAATTGTGAAAGAGTGGGTGTGGCAGGAGGGGTCTGATTTTCTATTTGATAGCTCTGTAACCAAACAAAATTAAATGCTATAACAATTATGGTCTGTTTGAGCAATAACGATTTTATAGAGAATATTTTATGTTTAATTTTGTACATTTTCGAGGAGTGATTGATAGAATAGGGATGATGACATGCTAAGGAAAAATGTGGCAATTTGGAAATTAGTGGAAATTTGGGATTTTTTTTATATTGCCTTGTAGAATTAGAAACTTAAAACTTGTATACTATTAAAATATGGATTATTAGCCAAAATTCTATGCTATTCTATTTAGTATAACATAAAAAAGTAGTTCAATATAATTTTGAATGTAAGACACTAAAACCTTATGTCAT